ACTTTCCTCTACAAGACCACACCTCCTAATCCCTCTCAAGCAGGGCCACTCCCACATGACTAAGATTTCAAACATAGGATGGGAGCCATCTTACACAATCCACTACATTCTAGTCCCTGGTCCCACAGCTGGCAACCATATCATAATGCAAAACACAGCCAATCTAACCTCAAAACCTCTCAGTCTATCTGTGTCAACAATGTTTAAAATCCCAAAGTTCAAAGTCTCTCCAGAGATTCAGGCAACCTCTCAACTGTAATCTTTGTGAAGTCAAAAGCAAAAAGCAATCCCGTATTTCCAACACACAGTGGCTCAGGATATACATCACCACTCCAAAAGAGAGGGAAGGAAGCACAGTGACCAAATACTGGACCAAACTAAGACCAAAAACCAGCTGGACAAACTTGACAAACTCTAATCTCTGAACCTCCATGCCTGATGTCAATGTGCTCTTCACCTCCAAGTTGACGACTACAACTTACTGTTCTGTCTTGTGCTGGGTCCACCTCTGTTGGCAGGTTTCCTTGGCTGGTATCCCAGGGCTCTGACATCTCCAACCTCTTGGTGTACCCAAGATTCACTTGTCCAGCTTCATGTAAGGGACTCTCTAAGCCTCCATGCAGGCACACCCCTTGATAGAGACCTGTCCTCAGAGGCTCTTCACAGTTGTTAAGATCCCATAACCTCTTGTATCCTTGATTCTAAAACTAGAACAACTTGGCTAAAGCTCCCAAGTTCTGCTACTTGCTGAAGCTAGAACTTCTTCCTGTTCTTTAACTATTTTCATATCAGCTTTCTCTTTCACTACTTAAGCTTTTTTTTTTTAACTCCTTTTTACAAATTGAAAGTGTAGCTGGGTAAGGTCTTGACCTGAGATCACCATTCCCTTTATTCCATTTAGCACCACACTTTTCTTTTAATTTTTTTTCTTATGGATCCCCTCCGGTACACCTCCCCCACCCCCCACAAGAGATGTTTCTCTGTGTAGCCTTGGCTGTCCTTTGTAGACCAAGTTGGCCTTAAACTCAAAGAGATCTGCCTGCCACTGCCTCCCAGAGATTACAGGCACATCCACTAGGCTAGGTTTTGTCTATTTATTTGTTTGTTTATTTATTTATACAGAGTTCTGCCTGTACGCCAGAAGACGGCACAGATCTCTTTACAGATGCTGTGAGCCACCATGTGGTTGCTGAAAATTGAACTCAGGACTTTTGGAGGAACAGACAGTATTCTTAACCTCTGAGCCATCTCTCCAGCCCCAGGCTGGAATTAAAAAAATTAAAAAATTTTAATTTTTTAAATTAAAAATTAAAAATCTTTAAATTTTTAATTTCCCTGTGCCCTGGACTTAGCTGCATTATACATCCTTGTGCTCCTTTTCTCTTCAAGGTGTACATTTTGTAGTTTTTTCCCTTGCTCCTTTCATTATAAGTCTGCATAACAATAACCACTAACAGCCACTGTCAGTGCTAGGCTGTATTTAAATCACCCTCGCTGACACCACTAATCCAAACCATTCACTTTAGCATCATGCAGATTTTTTTTTTTTTTGAACAAGGGCCAAAAGCAGCCACATTGTTCACAAAATAACACAAGAATGGTCTTTAGGCCACTTATATTCTCCTCTGAAAACTCCTGAGCCAGGCCATCCTAATCTACAGTGTTCTCAGCACCACCATCTTCCATGCTCTTCTAGTCTAGACCATTAAGCCTCATTTAAAGTGTTCAAATGCTTTCCTAATGCAAACCCCCAAAGTCCACATTCTGTGAACAAGCAGCATGCATAGTCAGCTTTTTCTGTCTCAGCTAGCTCCCCAATAACGAGGCAGAGATTTATTCAACGAGCTTTAAGCACAATAACTGAGCAGCCTAACCCTCTGCTACACTTGCTACTTTCCAGCCTCACGCCCCAAGTTACTTGACATCTTAAGAGTTCTGGCTCCACTGTGTTCCATGTGTGTCTTCATGGCACTCCATCAAAGGAGAGAAGTTCCTTGATTGTAGACAGGAAGCCTCAATATTACTTCACTACATATTTTGAGGCATAGATTCAAGAAAACTCCAATGAAAAGTATAACGTTTGCTGGGTAGTGGTGGTACACGACTTTAATCACAGCACTCAGAGGGCAGAGGCAGGGGTATCTCCTTGAATTCAAGGCCAACCTGGTCTACAGAGAAATTTCCAGGACAAGCAGCGCTACACAGAAAAACTGTCTTAAAAAAACCAAGTCTAATGATTTATGCTATGAAAAGAAGAAACCTGATGACAAAAAGTCATCTTGAATGAAAACATAACCAACACAAGACTGAATGAACAGCGCATACACAGTGACACCATTTGACTTCAAAAGTTCATACACCTGCAATAAAGACTGTGCAGTTTGGGAAAGAATAGAGATCAATAGAACATGAGACAACACTTACAGAGAAAAGCACAATTAATATTGGGTCAATTTTGATACATGAGGCCAGGAAACCCAGTTAGTCTGGCCTTACTAACAAATGGGACACCTTGGTATCTACATGTGAATATGTTAATAACACAGCGTAAAAGTAACTTTTATTTGCCTGATTTAATTATCCTCTTGGAGGCTTTCTGCCTCTATCTACTAACCTAGGCCTAGTCCTTGAAGCTTCTAGCCTTTATACAATCTAATCTAGACCTAGAGTCTTTTCAGCCTCTGAGGCTTACTGCTGAATAAGCTCATTCTTTCTAGCTCGCTCTTAATTCTGAGTGCTTCAACTCAAGAGTTCTGGCTCAAACTCCTCTTCAAGCTGACTGATTCAATCTGGCTTTGCTCATCTTCTGACTGAATTGCTCTGCTTGGTCTCAAACTAACCCTAGCAATCTGTTCTGGCTCCTTCTCATCCTCTGGCTTATTCTCTCTTATTCTCCTGTGTCTAGCTTGTTCTCTCTCTGTGTAACCCGTCTCTGTACAACTGTCCCAGCAAAACTGCATTCTCCCTTTCTGCCTTGCTCTCCTAAGTCCTCTTTTTCCTGTCTCTTCTCGTTAGTTGTCTATCTCTAGCTCATTTTCTCAAATCTTGGATGAGTCACTTGTCAGCCTCTCAGCTATCACCTCTGCTTCCTTCTACAAACTAATTTACCTTCATTGCTTGGGATTAAAGGGGTGCACCAAGGGCAGGGCGTGTCTGTATTCAAGCGGAGGGATTTAAGGTGTGTGACCTAGGTCTTGGGGTGTAATCCCTTGTCACAGCAGCCATGTTTCTTGATTAAAACTCCTCTACAACAGACTTTCCACCTGCACAGAATTAACTGCAGACGGATCCTACACCCGCATGCCAAGGATAACGTGCAGAAGACACTAGGGACACTAGGGCTCTAACCGGCTGCAAATCTGCCTTCCCTGGCGACATAGGCGAGCTTGCGGGATGACCTGCAACTTCCCAGCACCAGCTCCTGCGCCCCATGCTGTGCGCAGGCGCAGCCAGGGAAACCAAGTCACTCAGAGGTCCCGCTTCCGCCTGGGAGGTGCCGGGACCTCAGAGGAACAGAATCACACCAGACCCCTCGTCTCGCCGCCGGTCCCCGCCCCCGGAGCGAATCCACTCGGGCTCCCGCGGCTCCTCCCCGCGTGGGGACGGCGGCCCCTCTCACCATGGCGCGGACTCCGAGCTCGCCCCGCTCGCCTCCGCTCCCGGCAGCGGCTCACGCGACTTCCCCAGTACCTTAGCCGAGCCGTCAGCCCAGAGACCGGAAATACCTCCCCATTTTGACTGGCGGGTCCACCTCGAGCTCCTGATTGGCTAGTGCGGTCTGAGTGACAGGAGTACCCCCCCTAGGGACAGAGTGCTGCGAAGCGTCACCGCACAGTGGCTCCCAGCCCTACGGTTCCACCCCAGGCGCAGAACTGTCCAGAGCTGAGGAGTTGGGCATTGCGGTGGAACTTGCGCTGGACCGCAAAGTCATCCCTGCACTTTTTCTGACTGAGCAGGCACTGTCCCTTCTTGTGACAGGGCCTCTAACACATTAACGAGTGCATTGTGGGGTCCCTTGCTTCACAGCTGAAACGACTTCCAGCTCATTCAGCCCAGATCTGAGGCACCTGAGTGATAATCACCAGGCACCAGCAATCTCCGTGTGACCCTAGTTTTGCTCCCACCTCTCCCAGCTGCACATCATTAACCCTTTCCCGGCTTTCTGTGGCGGCACTGGCCTATTGTGCTAGCATTTGGGAGAAGGCAGGACATCGAAACTTTAAACCGCTTCCTCTGAGACGGGAAACACCAGCAATTATGGTCCCCAAAGTAAAGGTTCCAGAGTGAGGACCTGGATTGAGAAGATAAAAACAAAAGTCTGGCATCGGCACTCAGTGGTGGTGCCAGCCTTTAATCCCAGCACTGGGGAGGAAAAAGGCAGGCAGACTTCTGAATTTGAGGCCAGCCTGGTCTACATAGCAAGTTCCAGGACAGCCAGGGCTACAGAGAAACCCTGTCTTGGAGGGAAGAAAGAAAGACAGAAAAAAAGAAAGTTTGGCATCAGTGGGCTTTGCATGTCAGAACATGGTCCAGGAACTGAGTCACATTAGAATTCTCAGTGCCTGTGAGAACACTCTTGAAAACAAGAATCTTGGGACTTCAGTGTATGCCGGCTCCTCCCAGCTTGCTTGGATAGGAGTGACTTTACTTCAGATTACTCACTATTGCTTGCTACTCTTATTCAAACAAATGTTTATACCTACGTGGAAAAAAAATGTTTACTTCTTTAATCTTTTTTTGTGTGGGTTTTTGTTTGTTTGTTTGTTTTGAGACAGGGTTCCTTTGTGTAGCCCCGGCAACCTTCCTTAAACCTCAGAGCATCTACAGTCTGGGCTCTGAATAAAGCTGGCTATTGCATGAGACTGCAGTCTGCCTCAATTATCGACTCCATTGTCCCAGATCCCACCACATCTAGAGTGCTCACAGGGCTCCACCCCAGACTATACCCTCACCCCCCCGGGGGGTTCTAGGTGGGGTCTCCACCCCTGAGGCACAACTTTAAACACTGCACAGCACTCATATTTATTGCCGTGATTGTGTTATGGATCCAGAAGACCAAACTGTTCTGAGTCCCCCTGCTCCAAGCATGTCCTCACCCAGCGTCCCACACTGCTTCTCTCTTTCTCTCTCTCTCTCTCAGTGAGCTTGGGGAGTGACAGGAATCAGAGGGCCAGAGTGCAGGGTGCTGTGGGGTGAGGGGTGAGCTGGGCACCATTGCTGAGGCCCAGGCTGGTCTCCCACTGCATGCTGAGTCCTGTTGTTCCTCAGGTGCGTGAGAAGGTGGTGATGTCTGTGGCTTCAGCTTGCCGAGGTGAAGGATGGAGACTGAACATCTGAGCTGAGTCCTCAGCGGCCCTGCGCCTGCAGCCGCTGCATCTGCAGGATCTGGCTGAGAATGCACTGTACGTCCTCGTCCATCTGTCCCTGGGGAGGTGGGAGGGGACAGAGGCAGAGACACACCTTGGTGCACCTGCTGGGTGCTCCCCTGCCCCTTTCGAGTCTCTCTACTCAAACCCAAGGTAGCCAATGCTCCATGAGGAAGGTCCCTGCGGCACAGGTATGTTCCCAGAAGCCACAAGGCTGGCTCTGAATGGGAGAAACTGGGCCCAGGAGGTGCCAGAATAATGGTAAAGCCAGGTGGGCACCCTTAGGTGGAGTCAGGAGGCAGGGGACTCACCTGAATGGCATACAGGAGATGATTGCGGTATAAAGCCACCACGGCACCATGTTCCCGGGCCTCCTCCTGTAGACACAGGGGAGGGGAGGGGTCAGAGAATCAAGGTCATCCATGTCTATATAGTGAGTTTGAGGTCAGCCTGGGCTACATGAGACCCTGCCTCACATGAAAGGTGGACAGGGGGGAAGGGAACAAAAAGGGAAGGGAAGAAGGGGATTTGGGAGGGAAGGGGAGAGAACTGGAGGCCCAGCCACAGTGAGACACACCCACACACTCTGCCTGAGTTAAAACCCCAGGTTCAGTGGCTGCTGATGGCTGGATCAGGGAGATGTGTGTGAGGCACCCTGCCCAGCCTGCATCCTGCCAGCCATGCCCACCAGTACCCTTACTGCTCTGCCCCATCACCCCTCCCCTGCTACACAGAGCCAGTACCTCCATCCTGTGCTGCAAAGCTGTCACCTGGCCTCGAAGAGCCTCCTCCTCCTCCTTGGAGCTGGCCGGGGGTGCCTGCTGTGCCTTCAGAGCCTCCTTCAGTGCAAAGACTTCTTTGGACAGATCTGTGATCTGGCAAGGGGCAGGACTCCATGAGCGGCCACGCTGAGCCAAGCAGAAACCAGAGACCTCTGCACCCTTCCTAGGAAGCTTGGAACACGGTCACTGATTCTTGGGCCAGAACTTGAACTGACTTAGAACTTGAATTTGTACAGCCCAGGGCTGAAAAACCTTCCTCACACATTTTTAAATGTTTGGAGAAAGGAAAAAAAAAAAAAAAACAAAAAACAAAAAACAATCCAATGAATGAAAGATCTATTTTGTGACCCATGAAGGGAATCCAAATCACATGACATTTATCAATAAAGTTTTATTGTTATGCTGTTCTGTCTGCTCGCAGCAAACAGGAACCACAAACTGTGGCCTATAGATCAGTAAACACTATTTTGGTCCTTCATAGAAAAATGCCCTGGCTCCCCTGATCTTAGTTAGGGTCTGTGTTGGCACATCCCGGGAATGACTAGAGTCTGGAGCTGTCTCACCATGTCCGGAACCCATAAAGACAACTTGGGATTTTTATCTCATTTTATGGGAAGCCCAAGGTTGGCCTATGACCTCCGCACATGGACACGCACACACAAAATGATACAACCAGGGGCCATGAGTTGGTTCAGGGCTGGCGACACTTGCTGCCAAGCCTGCCTCTCCACCTGAGTTCAGTCCCTGGGACCCACGTGGTTGGAGGAGAAAACAGATTCAGACAAGTTGTCCTCTGACCTCCACGCATGCACGCCCTCACTCCAACATAAATAAATATAAGTAATTTAAAAATGTTTTTAATGTACAGATGGTAAACTAAGGCTCAAATCCTGCTCTGACATCACCTCTCTGTGCTTCTTACTTCAAATGGAGATAATTAGGGAGAGCAGAAAGGGCTGGATATGTTGCCATGGTTAAGATAACCAGATGGAGCATCCACACCCAGAGCGGCTCGAGAAGAGATTTTCATCCTTCGCTGTCACTCAGTTTCCCATGTGAGCTACACACCGAATTCACAAGACCTTGCTGGCTGGGAGGTTCCTTGGTTCTGTGTAACCTCGGCTTGGTGGCCCCTGACAGTGAGCAAGGAGGGAACCCACCTTCTTGTCCTTCTCCTTGGCCTTGTCCAGGGCCTCCTGGGCACGGCTCTGGGCCTGGCGCGCCCTCTCGGCCTCTGTACGAAGCCCGCGGAGCTGCTGCTCAGCCGTGGCCAGCTGGGCCTCGGCCGCGTGCCTCTCGCTCTTCATAAACAATGCCTCACGCTGCACCTGTGGCCCAAGCCCACGTGTGACTCTCGGGACATTTAGACCCCAAAGAGGCTTGGATCCTGGGGTTCTTCCCACCCTTCCGTGCTGAGCTGATGCTGTTCCGCCTCAAGGTTCTGGATTCCCACCCGACCCTGGGAACATTCTGGTCCTGCCCACTGGCTGCTGTGTGTCCCTGGACAGGAAGTTGGGCCTCTTCTGTGCTCTGGCATCCTCACTTGGTGGAGCAAGCCTGTGATCCAGGTATCAGGAAGCTGAGGCAGGAGGATCTGGAGTTCCAGGGCTACAGTGATTTCAAGGCCAGCCCGGGAACTGAGAGAGACTGCCTGAAAACACACACACACACACACACACACACACACACACACACACACACACA